GCCTGAGGGCTGACTCTGCATTCGCAGACCTATCAAGTGAACTCAGAAATAGCAGGAGCAGCAATAACAAAAAACCAAGAAACCACCCAAGGCAACATGTGACTGAACACCAAATGACAGTGCAGTGTGTGCAGGACAGACCTCTGCGGCTGGAGTGGTCAAGACAGGCTTTGTGGTGTGAAACTTCCTGGTGGTGTGAAGGCTGGTAAGGCCTTGGAGAGGCTGAAGGGGGAACATAAGGCGTTCCAGGAGGTGCTCAGTGCCAGCCTGAGGCGTTGGTGTCTGTTTCTCCAGCCCAGGCTACTTCTACTGATAGGATATTTTAGGGAAACAGATTAGTGTAGTATTTTAAAACCTGGGCTCTGAATCTGAATTCTGCCACCTCCACTGACCAGTTAGTTATGTGACTCAGGCAAGTTACCTAAATCTCTTCAAACTTCAGTACACCCAACACCAGGAAAAGGACTATTACATCTCAGGGTTAGTGTGAGAAGTGGCTGTAGCAGCAATCCTCAGCATAGCAGAGTAAGCACTCATGGTAGCTATTGTAGGAAACTCTACAGGATCAACAGCCTGGTCTCTTCAAGAATTAAATTCAAGGGAAAGAAATGTTACAGATTAAGAATTTTAAGAGACATATCAACCAAATCTAATGTGTGAACCTTGTTTAGATCCTGATATAAATAAATCAATTGCGATAAAGAAAAATTATAAGACAATTGGAAAAAATTTGGATACTGATTGCATCTCCGATATTAAGGAATTACTGCTAATTTTTTAGGTGTGATAGTAACATTGTGCATTTTTTAAGGGGATCATTTGGAGATACATAAAGTATTCACAGATAAAAGAATATAATATCTGAGAATTATTTTTAATTGATTCTTAGAAAGAGAGGAAGGGAGAGGAAGAGAAAAACATACAATGGCTGCCTCAAATGGAACCAGCAACATTTGGGTGCACAGGATGACACCCAATTGAGCCACACCAGCCAGGGCTGGGAATTGTTTTAAAATAATCTAACGTGATTCCTGGCAGAGTGGCTCAGTTGGTTGGAGTGTTAGCCCATGTTCGATCCCCAGTCAGGGCATGTGAGGGAGGCAACTGTTGTCTCCTGACGTTTCTCTATTATATCAATGTCTCTCTCCCTCTTTCTTTTTCTTTCTCTTTCTCTCTCTCTCTCTCCCCGCTGCCTTCTTCTCTCTAAAATCAGTAAAAATAACATATCCTCAGATGACAATTAAAAATAAAATTTTTTAAAAATGATAATCTAAGGTGAGGGGATACAGATGAAGATTTGCTTACAAGTGTTGCAGCTGCATGATGGATGTATGGGGTTTGCTATACTATTCTTTCAGAAATGTCTGAAATTTTCCCTAATAAAAAGGTTAAAAGTAAACTGAGTAAATGATAGCTTTTATTGTCACTCTATTTTCAAGGGTGCACACTAGAATGTAAGTAAGGATCAGGGCTTATCTTTCTTATCCATTCCCTTTCCCAAAGGATTTAAGTTTTCTTGGTATGGTACAAGCCCAATCATGTAATCCTGGATCATATCTACTCGGTCTCTTGCTTTTTAAAACTTTGAAGGCTTGCCTCTCCTCTAGGGGTAAAAACTCTAATTCATCATAAGGCTGTCTAGTTTTTAAAGGCCCTGCCTATCACTTCAGCCTCAATTCAGATCACTCTTCTCTTCATATTCTGAGGTTGGCCATTTTTGTTCCTCAAGAGTCATACTCTACTCGACCACAGACCCTGGCACATGTCATCCCTACTGCCCATGACATTCCTCCCCTCACTCTCTCTCCTCCCAACCACTGTTGCCTAATTACCTCTTACTCTTTCTTCAGATCTCAGCTCAATCTTTATTACTTCCTCTAGGAAGCCTCCACTGATCAGACGCCAAAAGCTGGGTAACTCTCCCCCATATATACCCTCATATGCTGTCATGTACCTCTTCTTTTTAGGACTCACAACTATAATATTAAAATTTTGCTATTGTTGATCACTGCATCCCTAGCATTTGGCACAGGGCCTGGCCTAGAGCAAATGACCAATATATATTTGTTGAATAAACCAATGAGTAAATGACGACTCATTGACTCAGCATCTTCCCACGTACTGCCTCCAAGACCTCACTCAAGTGTTCTTGAAATGCCTGGCATCAAAAGTTCTAGTCTTCTCACCAGTCATCGCCCACGTTGAAGGCATTAAGGCTCTTGGTGAAGCCTTGCATATTGGTGGGGCTCACTCTCTGCAGGAAGTCAATGTAGTCCTCAGAGTGGAAGCGGCACATGTCATGCTGGGAGGCCTGGTATGGCTTGAAGACCTCAGGACAGAAACACAAGGTGAATCCAGGCAGGGTCAGTCTCAATCATGGAGCTGAGACCATCTATACTGAACCAGTCCTGGGGATTATCCAAAACCACACCTGCAGTACCCTTGCCCCTAGTCCTTGTTAGGCTGAGGCAGAAGAGAGGCTCTGATAAGCCCGGTGGTTTATTACGATCAAGTCCCCTGAAGACCACTGGACTTGCCTTGTTCCTTCCCACCTCCAGCCTAGCCTTTCCTACCTTCTGACTGTGAGCCCTGATCCACTGCCCTCTTCCCTGAATCTCCTCTCCTGATTCTCTCCACGCCCATCTCCTCCCCTGGGCCCTGGTTCTGCTCTTTCTGTCTCTGAGTTCTTTTGGAATCAAATAATATGGTATGTATGAACATCTTCTAATTAAAGCTCAAAGTACCCAGGTGCTAAGCCAGAGATTTCTCTTTGTTTTGGGGGTGGTGGTCACATACTTCTTTAGAAATTGGGCAAAACCAAAAAGCCTTTCTCTCCCCAGAAAATGTACATAGGCACATACCAGCAAGAGATTTCAGGAATTCATAGATTCACGCACCAACACCTCAATCTCTTCTATGACCAATTCACTTGTCTGTGCCTCAGCACAAGCAGTGGACACTCATTCATACTTTGACTAATTCCCCTTGCAACGCATGAGGGCTGAGCTTAACTGTTATAACCGTGTATCACAGCTACAAATTCCAAGCCTGGGACAGGCAGCATGTTTCCCTGGGAGATGAAGGGCTGGGTAGTGGTTACCTGTGTGGGGGTATTCTGGGTTGAAAAGGTAATACCCCAGGACATCTGCTACCCTTCACATACACATTTACACGGAGGGCTATGGTCCTCCCTGGCGCTTCAGCTCCTTGGTGGTGGAGACGGTTGCAGAGGAGAAGGGATAGAAACTGAGGGTAAACCTCACATCCCCTTTCCCTTCTCTGAGGCTAAACACTGCCCACACCCCAAAATGCTGGGGAGAAAAACACCTTCGGTCTTCAAACCAGCCCCATTCCACCCTAACTCGCCCAGTGTGAGTCCACCTGAGGTCAAAGGGTGGCTGACCTAAG